GTTGTTCGCTACCGTTCGGTTTCAAGGGGACCCCACAATAAACAGAGCAACATGGCACTACAGGGAGACCTTGTAAAGCCCTAAACCCAAAACCCTAAACCCTAAAGCCCTAAACCCTAAAGCCCTAAAGCCGTAAACCCCTGAACCCTAAACCCTAAACTCGCCCTAAACCCTAAACCCCTGAACCCTAAACCCTAAACCCTCCACAGTCTGGTTGTTGAGCCTCTGCGTTGTCTTTGGGGTCTTTCACGGGTTTCCTCGGTGTTAGCTCGACAGCCACAGGCTGGAAGGATTTAGGGTTTAGGGTTTAGAGATTTAGGATTTAGGGTTTAGGGTTTAGAGATTTAGGGTTTAGAGATTTAGGGTTTCGAGATTTAGGGTTTTCAGATTTAGGGTTGAGAGATTTAGGGTTGAGGGTTTAGGGTTCAGGGGTTTAGGATTTAGGGGTCTAGGGGTTTAGGGTCTAGAGATTTAGGGTTAGGGTTTGGAGATTTAGTGTCTAGGGATTTAGGGGTCTAGGGGTTTAGGGTTTAGAGATTTAGGGCTCAGGGCCTTTCAGGGGCTCAGGGTTCTAGGGTTTTAGGGTGTTAGGGTTTAGGGTTTAGGATTTAGGGTTTAGAGATTTAGGACTTAGGGTTTGGAGATTTAGGGTGTTAGGGTGTTAGGGTAAGAAACTGCCAGCAGCCCGGCTCCGTGCACTTTCAGAGCAGAGTCCTACAACCTACGCAGCGGATCATGGGAGGTAGTAGCTACCTGGACGCTTAAGAACCTACCTTTCTAGGGTTCCTTAATATAAACTCCTTATATAAGTCCTTAAAAAGGTAGGTTATTTGGGTTAGGCTAGGGTTATCAAGAAGACGATACTTATAACCGATATCATGAAGTGCCTTGATCCTACAAATTGACCCGAAAGACCACTGGACCACTTCACTGCACCTTGAACTCTACAAACCCCTGCCCCAAAGACCCCTGACCACCCGAATCGAGATACCTTAGGCCCTGGGCCGTACGATACCATCCTTAACTCCTAGGTAGTGTTAGGGAGACCCCTTAAAGGGCACCCTTCTACACCCTGCTTATGGCTCTCTTAACAGGGACCTTATTGAGAGGGTCTATATCGGGTCCCCCTGATACTAACTCCCATGAACCCAAACTACCCCTACAATTCTAAGGCAACCTTGGGCCTTAAAACATCAGCTTCCTCCGAAACCTCTAAACCCTGGGTTTAGGGTTTAGGGTTATCCTAGCTTGTCCACACCACCTTTAAGTTGGAGATGAGCTGCACACCCTAAAGCCTAAATTCAAGAACCCACAAACAGGCCCTAACACCCTAAACCCTAAACCCATGCGGTAGAAGCCCAAAAGTTGGAAACCCAATAGCCTCAATCTTTAAAACTAATGTGCAGGCAATCCAAGCACTATTTGGCCTTAATCCAGTTTCCAACTTTTTGGGTGTTACCTACCCTAAACCCTAAACCCTAAACCCTAAACCGTAACCCTAAACCCTAAACCCTAAACCCTAAACCCTAAAAACCCTTTTTGCTTTTTACTGAAAAGAAGGGGCTCGCGGGATCGACTCGTGCAGGACAAGGACAACTCTGACACCAAGCTCGATTGGACGGACGAGGTATCAGGTTTAGGGTTTAGGGTTTAGGGTTTAGGGTTTAGGGTACTATCTTCGGTTATAGCGTTTAGGATTTTGGGATTACCGCGTTTAGGGTTTAGGGTATAGGGTTTAGGATTTTTGGATTTCGGGTTTAGGGTTTAGGGTATAGGGTTTAGGGTTTAGGGTATAGGGTTGTGGTGTTTAGGGTTCAGGATTTTGGGGTTTCGGGCTTCGGGTATAGAGTTTTGGGGCTTGGGGTTTAGGACTTAGGATTTTGGGGCTTAGCAGGTCATGAAGCTTAGTCATGAGGTTTAGATCTAAGGGAGCTATGCTCATAGGACTGTATGTAGGACTTCAAGACTCGATTGGACGGTGATGACTAATGCAGACCCCACAGGTTCTAGAAAGTGTCCCCCGAAACAGTAGCCTATGTCATCTCAGCCGTACAGTAGCTAGGCTTTAGGACGGCCTCAGAAACAGATGCGATT